TCAAGTTCCAGACCTGGCAGCTTAAAACTCACACTGAGCTAGGGACCAGCAGTTAGCGTAATGGCTATGTTGCTGAACTCCCATGTAGTCGACCACAGTTCAAGTCCTGGACCCGGTGGCTTAAACTCACGCTGGGCACATGTGTGTGCGTGCCCAAGATCCAGAGAGAGGATTGCAGCATGGCCATCCCCCGTGGGTGGTGATTTCTCGCTTTATATCTCTCTGTCTGTCTCTGTCTTTCTTGCGAGTACACGTACCCTATGACAAAAACCTCTAAAAAGAAAAAAAGAAACTCACACTGAGCTCGAGTGCATGCATACCCCAAATCCTGAGAGGAGAATGGAGAAGAAAGGATTACAGTATGGCCATCCCCCCAAGGGGGCAATTTCTCCCTCCCTCTCTCTCTCTCTCCAGCAAGCACACATGCCCTAAAAGGAAAATTCTCTGAAAAATAAATAAATAAAAAGAGAAAAATTGAAATTGAAAAGTGGCTATGTGATTGTCCCCAAGAGTGAGTAGAGATGACACCCCATACAGGTGAAGACCTGTGGAGCCATGCGGAGAGAGCACATGTGAGCATCCCCCTTGGAGGCAGCTCCCAAGTCTCTCTCTCGTATTCAGGTGAAGCTGTCCAACGTCCTTGCCAAGGACCAGGCTTTTCCTACTGAGAAACAAAACAGCAAAAGGGGGCCTGAAACAAGATCAGTGCGGCTCATTTCCTCATGGAGCATCAGTAATCTCATATTTGGAAAAAAGTTCTGTTTTGTTTTCTTTTCTTTTTGTAGAATAAAGTAACAAATTCGAGATAGCGAATGCTTCTAGAATTGTTTGGACCCTAAAGAGTGAGTTCATCCCTACAATTTTTTGAAATAAGACCGATATAGAATAAACTACAGAAATCTTCAGTGAACAGCTCCATTTATTCTTACCAACACACATACCCACATAAGGGAACATCTGATACCTTCAAGGTTCATTTGACTTTGGCCTAAAAGGGGCTCTAGGGAAAATGTTTGAGGAACACAAGGTTAAGTCACTTTGCATTACCTGCTCTTGGCCCTGGCGACTGTAAAACTTGACACTTAACTTCCGTAATAATCCCAGCGTCTTTGGTACCTACAAAATAAAAACATACCATATAAAAAAAAAATTAATGACTTGATTTCTTATTCTATAAAATCCGTTTATCATTAAAGAAAAACTAGGGCAAATAAAGTATTGTTTTAAATGGTCAAGAAGGGGCCAGCAAGTGGTATGGTGGGTAAGGCGCTGGACTCCCATGTGGTCAACCACAGTTCAAGTCCGAGACTGGCAGCTTACTTTCTCACTTTCCCTCTCTCTCACTCTCTCTCACCCCCCCTTCTCTCCCTACCCCCCCTTCCCTCTCTCTCTTTTTCTCTCTCTCTGATGAGCACATATGTCCTATAGAAAATTTAATATTAATAATAAATGAAATAAATAATTTTGTTAAGAAAATCATGAATAGCTACGAGAAATCTTGGTGAGATTCTTTTTTTTTTTTTTAATTTACTAAGCTGTCAGGTGACATAGGGAAGATGGCCATGCCACAGTCCCTTCTCCATTCTCCTCTTGGGATTTTGGACATGCATGTGCCCAGCATGAGTTTTAGCCACCAGGTCCAGGACTCAAACCACAGCAACAAAACCATTATATCATCTGCTGGTCCCTTTAATAAAGGGCTTTAAAAAAAGGCAAGAAAACAATGAAAGAATGAAAATAAGAAAAATTTTTAAATGAGATAAAAGAGCCACAGAAAAAATACTGAGAATAGTAGATAACAAAAACAGTCCAGCAGGTGGCACAGAAGTTAAGGTGACTGGATCCCACTTGGTCAACTACATGGTTCGCATCCTATAACCAGTGGCTTGAAAAACACACCAGGCATGTATGCATGCATGCCCCAAATCCCAAGACAAGAATGGAGGAGAAGGGGTTGCAGCATGGCCATCCTATCGGGGAGGTGGTTTCTCACTTTCTCTCACTCTCTCTCTCTCTCTCTCTCTCTCTCTCTCTATTTTTTGGCAAGTACACATGCCCTATGACAAAAACCTAAAAAAAAAAAAAAAAGTTTTAGTGAAATAATGTAGGTAAATCCCATCTGGTGAATTCAAGAAAGAATGAAAAGAGAGGAACTGGAAACAAGTACAGACGACTCAGGAAATTTTCTTTTTTTAAGGAAAAGAAAGGGCATGATCGCTGGAAGGCAAATAAGTTTTGAAGTAAAATAAAAAGATGTCATCTACTGATAAATCTAAGAGATGGCAAAATTCATGATGTTGGAGAAATATCCTCTGATAAGCAAGAATGGGAGAGCCAGTGACAAAGGGATTGGCTGGTCTTAGCTAGGACAAGGACAAGCCATGCATTACGGAAAAAGAAGATACAGTAGTTTATAGGCACAGCTGCAGGCAGATGGTGGATCTCATGGAATTACTCTTCTATATTTTTATTTTCTCAGAGAAATATGTTTCCAAAAAAGCCCATGTTCATTCCGCCAAAAGAAATCCATCTTGAAAAAATATTAATAATATCAAAAATTCAATATTATTTATGTTTATAGACTTTCTCCCAAAATGTTGACCTTAAAAATATAAACAAACAACAATAATTAGCACTATAGATCATCTTACAGTTTAGCAAGTGCCTTCACATACAAACCTCATTTCATCCTGGCAAAAGCCTTGATACACAAGTAGTAAGTTATAAGCTAGAATTCGAATGTCAGCCTTCTGACTCCAGAGCCTAAGTCTTTGTCCGAGCTACTGAACTCTAACCTGGGACCTGTCATAACTTAGTAGACTTCTTTGTGGACACAGCTGTCTCCTCCAATACACAGCAAATCCTCTGAGGGCTACTATCGCTCTATTTATATTCCTAATACCCCGAGTAGTGTTTAAAGGTTGAACAAATGTATAAATACAACTACCTCACACAGACGACACGAACATGAATTTGGAAACTTTGGTCAATGCGTATATTGAATTTTGCACGGTCTCTTTTACAAGCTAGCAGCCTTCTGAGAGACTAGAATATATAGGTCAGCAGCATTTTTCAGTCAATAGCTACCCCAACACAACAGCGACCTTAAACAAACAATAGGAGGAAGTTCAATGAGAACAACGGCTGCATCTTACAAAAGGAACTAATCCTATAACCTCAAAGCACTCTGACGTGGGGAAAGGCTCTGTGAAATGATTGTACGTTTAGCCGCAAGACACATTTAAAAGCCACTAGCGTAATTAAAATACACTTGCAGCATTTCAAGAAGTTAATCATACAGCCGAGCATTCAATTTGCAATTCAATATTTTTCACCAGTTATTTTGTCAGTGCACAAGCAATTTTCTTTTAAAAGACTCCAATATCAAAGCCTCAGGCCAGAGAAAGGAGGACCATACAGTAGCAGAGCAGATTCCAAATCTTCAGGAAGGAGTAAAATAAAAGCACAGACAGTTCCAAGAAGCCCAGGTGAAATGCGGCTCTCCGCTCTGGAGCGTGGGGCAGAGGTACGAGCTTGTTCCTCTCCGACCACTGGGTCACCAACACACCTCATACGCCGTATCACGGTGGACCTGCAGTTTCCTGTTGTACTGTGAATCCTCCAAACTCCTCCATTTTTTTCTCTCAATCTTTAATTTAGCCAAATTTGAGAGCTACAAAAAGGCTGAAATTCTTATACCATCAAACACTGGCACACCTTTCTCCTGGGTGGACAAGTTCTTTATATTTTGCCACATTTATCTTTCTCTGTCTGTATAATACATACTTTTTTACAAAACTATCATTCTTTCAGGTCAGCAGATGATGTGGAGCTTGAATCTCACATGGCTGACTACGTGGTTCAAGTCCTAGACCTGGCAGCTTGAGAAACATGCTGGGTGTATATACAAGCAGGTCCAAAATCCCGAAAAGGAGAAAGGAGGAGGGAGTGCAGGAGGGCCATCCCCATTTGGGGAGTGATTTCTCATGTTCCTCATCTCTCTTTGTCTCTTTCTCTCTCTGGCGAGTACCCTATAGCAAAAAAACAAAACAGAATATATTTTTCATTCAACAATTTGAAAATAAGCTGGAGACATTACACTTACTTAGGACAGATTTACGAGAGAGAATTCTTCAAGCTCTTTCCAAGATCTGCCCTGATGTATGTCACATAAAAACTACAGGCTGGGTATGAATAAATCAAAAGATAAACACAGCTAACATCGCACAAATGTGAACTGTGTGTCAGATATGTACGAGTAACTCCTGCTGCACTCATTTCTAATACAGACTACGGGATAATATCATAGCATAAAACATTCATTATCAAACCAAACATTTGCTCTGTTATACTTCACTTTAATTTCTTGGTTTCTTCCCTTCCATAAACATGTCTGAATGCCTACCACATATTAGGCGAGATGCTGAGCTCAGCATACTGGCTTCTGTGCAGTTTACAAACACAACCAAGATACATAACATCGCAGGCTAGCCAGTAGGGTAGGCAATCAGTATTCACCCATACCTCCTTTTTCTCACCTCACTAGACACACAGAAAACTATTCCCAGCCCCCTAGAAACTAGGAGGGCCACATAATTAGTTATAACAAGTGAACTGTGAGCAGAGGTGATTCTCATACACGATAAAAAGGTTCCATCTTTTTCTTTTTTTTTTTTAAAGAGAGATTTTTGCTATAGGGCATGTGTGTTCACCAGAGAGACAGAGAGAGACAGAAAACAAGAAATCACTTCCCAGGGGAGATGGGCCACACCACAATCCCTTCTCCTCCACTCTCCTCTCAGGATTTGGGGCACACATACACGTGCCTGGCATGAGTTTCAAGTTACCAGGTTTAGGACTTGAACTGCAGTCCGCCATGTGAGAGTCCAGTGATATCACCATTATGCCAACTGCTAGTCCCCAAAAGTTCTGTCTTTCATCTCTCTCATCTCTTCCTACAGCCATAAATTGAGACAGTGGGGCCTCAAGAGGTTTCCCACGCCCGTGGATGCTCTCATTTTCACCAAGAGCATGCTGCCCAGGCAAACCATGGTACCAACGGAAGGCTTTGCCACAAATAAGGGGAAATTTCTATGCGGTAAGCCACGGGAAATTTAGAACTTTTATTTAATTATGGGAGTGTTTGAATTATCACAACGGAGCCTAGACTATACAGATTAGAAACAGCCTAAAGAAGATCTATCACAAAATAGATGCTCAATAAGTCATTGTAGAAAGAATGACTGACTAAATGAGTAGTCCATATAAACAGGGAAAAAACATGGAAGTTTACCATGGCAGTTAACCTGCACTGGGAACTTCTGTCATTTGGGGCTCTGGTTGTGTCACTTGCTCGCTGTGGTCAAGGGCAACTTACTTAGCCATACTTCCTTTTCCTCCACAGACTTTGCTGGTCACAATCCTATCTCAAAAGGCTCTGGGGAATTAAATGAGCTAATACAAATGAAAGCGCTCGGAACAGTTGCCAAAATGGGAGAAGTGCTTAGTAAACGTCAGTATCTAAATAAGCACATGCAATGAACAGGACCACTAGGGGGTTATTTTTCTGATATCTAGAAATATCTTACTAAAAATGAGACCAAGTTCAACACAATAGACTTTAGTTACACTTGATATTTGAAAGAAGTGCTGAACTTGAGCTTGTTAGTTAACTGTCCTCATTTGAGACAAACAATTTCCTTCCCTGTATCATAAAGAGAAGTTACTTGCTTAAGGCCAGTTAGGAAGTGAACGGCCATTACTAATACTTACTGTAGTAACGGTGTCTCCCCCACTAGTAACCTGCTTATAATAAGGGGATCCTGAAAGAACTCTCCAAGCAGAAAGGCCACAGCTAGAAGCTTTTGATGTGCCCACTTCAGCAGTTTGACATCCACCAACCAGTAAAAGCCTAAAAAAGAGAAAAATAAAAAGAACTGATTAATTTTTAAAAGAATAAAGTAACAGCAAAACTGGGGCCGGCAGATGGCATGGTGGCTAAGGCACTGGACTACCACAAGGCCAACTGTGGTTCGAGTCCCAGTTCTAGTGGCTTGCTTTCTCACTTTTCCTCTCTTTCTATCTCTGTCTCTGTCTGTCTCTCTCTCTCTCTCTCTCTCCTGTGAGTGCATGTACCCTATAGCAAATTTTAAAATAATACTGATTTTAAAAAATTAAATAAATATTTTTTAAAATAGCACAACAAAAAAAAACACAGGAACAGTCTACACACACATACACATACAAAAACTACAGTTAGATTACTGTAAATTAAGCCCAAAAAGTAAATACTTTGAGAAAACAATCAGAAAGAAACCAAATAGTTTTACATTACAATTTTCCCTTCATTTACTCAGAAGGAAGGCTTAAATATGCAGAAACATAAAACCCAGATGAAAACTTAGAAATGAAGAAAAAATATTTCAAGGTTGACCACTGACTCTCGAAGAAACTGTCTGCATCGACAGCAACAAACTTTAAAATACATGTGCAGCCTCACTCAGACACACAGGTCCAACTGAAGCAGTGTGTCTGATGCGAGGCGGGCAATCACAGACTGCTAGGGAGAAATGGCAGCTGGGGCTGCTCAGCTGGAGAGAACCAGGAGGCAGTAACTCTACAGAGTAAGACTACTGAATAGTTTAGCCGTGTATTATAATGGGTTCACTCTTCCACTTGTTACTCTTCATTAGCAATTGGAGGCCAGTTAGCAACAGGGCAAACAGCCTAATACACATGAAAGTTTCAGGACATGACTGCGGAGCGCTGGCTCCATGCCTGTGGTTAAGGAGCTGGATCCCACATGGTTGACTGCGGGGTTAGTGAAACGAGAAACACTCTGAGCATGTGTACATGCATGCCCAAAATCCCAACAGGAGGGAGCGATGGAGAAGAAAGGATTGCAGGATGCCCAGGCCCCAGGGAGGGTGCTTTCTCCTCTCCCTCTCTCATCAATCTGATGAGCTCAAATGCCCTGTAGGAGGGGGGAAAAAAAAAAAAAACGCATTCTCATGAAGCCACTGTATGAACTGAACGGGTTAACAATGGAATGCAGTCATGCTTTGTACAGTTATGTTCAGCACGTCAGGCAAGGGCTGTATCACAGATACCATCATCGCCTACTGGAAAAGAAAACAGCTTGAAAATAAAGTTCTCATACATGAAAGCCCCAAAAACTCATCTCCACTACATACTCTTACATCTAAAAATGTCACAACTGCATAAAATCCTCCTAGGTTTAACCAGGAAACCTAGCCCAACTCAAAATCTCAAAACCCATAAAGCCATGTAAATGAACTTCAGTCACAGAAACAGAACTTGAGCCTTCATGCAAAGCCTCATTCCTACTGCTTTACGCAGCTCCAACAAGTTCACATCACAGCGGACTGCAAGCCACAAATTTTGAGATGACAGCTTGAGGCAACCTTTTACACTGTTCCTACCCTGGGCAAATTCTCTGAGCTAACATATAATTAACCCTGTTCACCAGGGCAAAAGAGATTTTAGCCGAAGGTCATGCTAGTAGTATAAGTATTATTTGCCCAGAGCATTCATTCTGCCCAAATGATTCTGTTATACTAAAATATTTCCCCCAAAATAGATACATCTAATGTAGATAAAATCACATTATCCCTCTGAATCTAACTACCAATTTGGAGAAAATACAGATGGAAAAAGAAAAGTACTTTAAACAACACTACAAAGAGGCAATCAACAAAATGTAGTTGGTGGAAAAATACAAAATAAACAACCTGGTTTCGTCAGAAAACACAATACATATATATATTCAGAGCAAAAGAGCCACACAGAGAGAGAAAAAACAGAGAGCAGATCAATGGGGACCAGCAGTTGGCGTAATGGCTATGTCGCTGAACTCCCATGTAGTCGACTGTAGTTTGAGTCCCGGACCCGGTGGCTTAAATTCACACTGGATGCGTGTGAGTGCATGCCCAAGATCCCAAGAGGAGAATGGAGGAGAAGGGATTGTGGCGTGGCCATCCCCCCTGGGGGGTGATTTCTCGCTTTCTCTCTGTCTCTCTCTCTCTGTCTTTCTGACGAGCGCATGCCCCCTACTGCAAAAACCTCTCCAAAAAAAAAAAAACAAACAGAGAGCAGATCAATGAATTCAAAGAGAATACAATCTGGATATCTGAATATGCCGACTTACTATTATTAATTACTTTGGGGTATGAATGTGGTAATGGAACCAAATTTATGTTTTACTAAAGTCTTCATTTTATAGAAATACACAGTGAAATAATATTCTGTTCAGGGAAGCATGGACAGAGGAATGGCTAGGGAGACAGATGACATAAAACTGGCCACGAGCTGATTGTTGAAACTCAACGACAGGCACCAGGAGCCAGTACACTAGCCTTTCTATTTCTGCACGTGCTTCAAATTTAAGAATTTTTTTTCCCCAAAAGTCCATTTGTTAGGGGAAAACTCCTAACAAATAGAACAAACCTGGCAATTTTGAATATGTAGAGTTCAAATTTAATCACAGTATTTTTTTCAAACAGTTAACCTGCGATTCATAGAACATAACTTCAAACTTCAATAACTTAGGGCCAGCCTACAGCCTAGGGTTTAAGGGAGCTAAATCTCACATAGCCAACCACAGATGAATGGCAATCCCAGCAGCTTGAAAAACACTCCTGGTGTGTGTGCATGTGAACCCAAAATCCTGATGGGATGGAGAAATGGAAGAAAAGGGATTGCAACATGAACATGCCCTTTTGGGCGTGCTTTCTCTCTCTTTCTCTCTCTCTCTCACCCTCTCTGTCTCTCTCTCTTTTTCGTGCATGCGCACATGCGTACACACACCCTCTACTAATTAAGTAAACAAATATTTTAAAAATCTGTAGCCTAAAATTATGATTAAAAAATAACCCTACTTGAAAATTTAACAAATCCCTGGAAGATCATAATAAGAATTTTTTTTTTTTTTTAAGGAGTTTTACTATAGGGTGCATCAGCTCACAGGAAAGATAAAGAGACCAAAAACGAGAAATCATCCCCTGCAGGAGGGATGGCCACATGGCATTCCCTTTTCCTCCGTTCTCCTCTCGGGAACTTAGGCATGCACACACACACACCTAGCTTAAGTTTCAAGCCTCCGAATTTGGGACTCGAAACGTGGCCGACCATGTAGGAGTCCAGTGACATAACCAATACACCATCTGCTGGTTCTAAGAGTTTTTCTGTTTGTTTGTTTACTTTTTCATTTCTTCCACAAGAAAGAAAGCGAGAGAGGCACCTCCAAACAAGATCCTCACACCATGACCCACCTCTAGTCTCAACTACTGTGACTCACAGGCACAAATGTGTGCACCTAGGGTGCTTGGGGAGGTCCCAGGCAGCAATCTGTGGCCTTTCCTGTGGGGGTCTAGGTGTGTTACCACTGCCCCTGTTCACAGCCCCAAAACTACTTCGATAAGTAAAATAAGTTCTCCCAATCAAAGTCCAACATGACATTAACAACATACATACCACAGAATGTATATCAATACATGTATAATATGTGACATTATTTTCTACGCACAAATGTGTCATGTCTTTTCCGACAACCCAATATATCAGAATAATTACATTTATGTTAGCATATGTATGAAACTTTAAGTTATCCAACTACTTAAGGAATTAGAGAGCCGAGAACACGGATTTCTTATCTCCTGGTCTTGATAGCAGGAGACACTTCCTCTCTATGAATTCCTTTAAATATCATGGCCATGCAAAGATCAAAATTGTTACAATACGATAAGCTCCACTGAGAACAAAAAAGATTCAGTATCTGCTTCCAACCTTTCCTTCATTCATGCCAGACTAGAGAGTAAGTGGGAAGAGCAGCAGGATGATGGAACTAATCATGTGTTGTTCCCTCCAGATGGTATGGCAGGGTTGTGGCACTGATGCTCCAGCCATGAAGATGCATATGGGTTCACACATGCAAGCAGGCATGAGTGCTCGTGTTTGTTCACAGGAGAGGGAACTGGCAGCTACTGTGTGCAAGGTACTGAGCATGCAGAGATGAGCAAGCTATGCTCTCTGCATTCGAAAAGCTCACTTGCTAACAGGGTGAAAAAGAAGGAAGAGCAGATGTGAGCGTGGAATGCAGTGGCACGTTAGCTGACAGCCAAATCTAAAGACATAAGTCAGTCTGAATCTACTGAAGGGTTGTCTTCGATTTATACAAGCCAGTGTGCCAATGCGCATCAATCATACTTCAAGATGTTAATTTGTTCCATTATTCTATTGTTTCAAGACCCATAATGCTGATTTGGGCTAACCTTCAAGTGATTAAGAAAACAGAACTCAGGCTAACAGTGATACTTGACCGAGTAAACAAATGCTCTCCATCAAGATCAATGTTCAGAGTAGGCTTCAGGGCACAGTGGCCCAAAGTAAAGAGGAATAAAGTTCCATGGGTACAGCTATGTCACTCAAATAAAGCCAGTCAATCCAAAAGGGGGAGAGGATTGTTGGGCCCAGTACAGTATACCTGATACATGATTGCTGAGAGACTGCATAGATTTAAACTTTCTCTGTAAGTAGCGCAGAGTACAGGTCCTCTAGAGACCCATCTTTTCCCTCCTAGTCCTCCTTCCTGCTAGGTTTCAACAGAAAGATCAAGAGATCTGGTGGGTTGAAGGGAAGGGTCACTGCAGTGGGGGTAGTGGAAGATAGGAATCATGTACTGATTTAAAAATAAACACATAAAAAAGGGGGAACTAGACAATACTAAGGCAAAAATCTAGTAAAGAAGAGAATCAGGAAACAAAAATTGAAGAGTTTGTCAGAGATGTGAGACTTGAATGAAGAGACAAAGATATCATGTTCCTTGGTGGACTCTTGATACCTTAAAGATGCCAATTCTTATCTATAAATTCAATGCCATTTCAAATAAAAACA